TGGTCCTGATTCATGTTAGATGGAATTGTTCAGGTTCAAACACTTTTAACTGAAGACAGCATGGAAGGTTCCCAGTTATCTTTGGAAACATTTTATTTCCAGTTTTGTTTTAGGGGGACACAACTGCATTTTCTCTGGGAGTCAAATCTTCTCTCCTTCTACACACTGTTCCACACCATGAATTCATCTTTTCTCCTATTCCATTCCACTTTGTGTGTCTGTGCGTGTGTGAGAGAGGGGGGTGGAGAGAGAGGGATTTCATTAGGGGTAATTTTCATCCTACCCAAAGAATATAAACCGTGCTGAAGCCTGTCATTTGTCAGAGGAGGTCTGAATCTGAGAGCTGAAATAACATGTAATATAATGTTGTATACTGTGGGTGCTATTTCAGTTTTGCTTTCCACAGAAGCTGAACTTTTCTCCTCTGTTGTTTTCAGCAAAGTACCTGTTTATCAGGAATTTCCCATTTCAAAATTATAATCCCCAGTGATGAGGGCTTGTTTTTGTGAGTAGCCTGGAGAAAAAAAAGATATATTTTTATACTTTAAAACTAGACATCATGTAAGAACTATTTCTATTTACCCCCAGTTCCTTCCTTCCAAAAAAGGAAAAACAAACAAAACCAACCAATAACCCCCCAACCCCATTTAATAGTACATTCTGTGTTTTTAACTTCAGCCCCTGGTTAAGGAAGAGAGTTTTTTCTACATGTTTTTGTCAGGGGTGGGTTGTGTGTGTCAGGTCCTTAGTGGCATCATAGATAGGGCAGATAGTTGTATGTATAGTAGAAATAAAAAAAATAGTTAAAGGGTACTGAGTTCAAGAATGCCACATGCCCAACCCACCTTTAGGAAGATACTCTTGAGCTGGGAAGATGGCTCAAAATGTAAAATCACTTGCTCTGCCAGTGTAAGTTCAAATCCCCAATGGCCATGTAAGAAGCTGACATGGCTGTGTGTGTCTGTAAGTCCATCTTTGGGCAGGGGCAGAAGGCAGGGACAGGTGGGTCCTGGGCCCTCCAGTTTCAACAAAACAGGGGCTTTGGGTTCAGTGAGAAAGCCTGTTCAAGGCCATAAGATGGAGAGCAACAGAAGAAAATGCCTGAAGTTCTGCTCTGGCCTCTGCATGAGCACACCCCCTCCCAACAAATAAAAGCATTCTTCCTGCACACCCAATTCTATTCTCCGAGTAAAGGTCTGAGGATCTATAAAGCTGCGTGGAGCTGAGTGTCTGCTTAGTCAATGGATGTCGTGTAATGGGCACTACTACCACGAGAGTCGGGGAGAACAACCAGCCAAAACTATTCACTGTCACTTAAGAAGGGTACCTTAGTGCTACACCCTCTCCAGCGTCGTCTGTGTAGCATATCAACAGATTGTGCTACTAGGCGGGAGATACGTTTTCTTCGGAAATATGCTCCCTGGAGGTCACTAGCAAGAACCCTAACATGGCCATCTAAGCCAAAAGACGTATTCTGAAAGTCCCACGCTTACTCGATTGCAAGATTGGATTGATGAGATTTTTTGCTGTTTCTCTATGATTCTTGGAACAGCACAGTTAACTATTTAAGGAAACACATTTCTAATAGATTACTAAAAGCTTTAGCAAATAAGAGTAGAAGGAAAATAAAATTTTAGGAGAGATAATAAATCAGATTCAGCATCAGGAATTGCTTGTGGAAAAACCAAACATTGTAGGTAATAAAGGGACAAAAGTTTTAGGGCTTTCTAAAGAAAATATTTAATCAGGATCTGTTAGGATAAATGCTCTGGATATTCCCAGTGCAGTAAAATTACTACAAAAGCATTACCAAACACAGGTGTTTATGATGGGGCAGAAAGAAGACAGGCAAACATAGGAGGTCAGAGAGTTTTATATTATACTATGAGTTTACAGACAGGCTAGCTCAAGCATCTTATCTCTAAGGAAAGATTATAAATCTTTAGCAAGACAAACAGGAGGAATCCCCTGAGTGCTTAACTCTAGGGGGGTTGTAAATCTTTAGCCGACTTAGCTCAACAGCCCCTGGCCCTCTACCCACTAAATTAGCAGCAATAACGCTAGTTCTAGGTTTGCTCTGCTTAAGAGGCTTTTAGGCCAAGATTCTTGTAGACACTGCCTTTCACCAGATCGCCTTCAGTTAAAATATAAACTTCGTAAATGTTCCGGGAAATATGTCAACTTCAGGTGCTTCTTTATGTAACCACTATCTAAGTGTTGGCTTGACTTCAGTAAAGCGCAGCAGATCCAAACCAACACTACTTGGTGTGGTCTCTGACTGTCAATACGTCTACCTGTGTCTAACCTGATATCCGAACCTCTGATTCCCTGCGGTTGTGGGACCCAACTGGGACGGTCCACGGCACCTTAGTGTCCTTGCTACGAAGAGACACTATGACCATAGTGACTCTTATAAAGGACAGCGCTTACTGGGGCTTGCTTACAGTTTCAGAGTTTTAGTCTATGCTCATCATGGCAGGAAGCATGGTGGCACACAGGAAGACATGGCGCTGGAGAAGTAGCTGAGAGTTTTGTATCCAGATCCACAGGCAGCAGGAGAAAGACACTGGGCCTGGCTTGGGCTTTTAAAACCCCCAATCTCTGCCCCCCCCCCCCCCCCGGGCATACTTCCTCCAGTAAGGTCACACCTAAGCCTTCTCAAGAAGTGCCCCTTCCCGATGACCAAGCATTCAAATGTAGGAGTCAAGCGGGCCATTCTTATTCAAACCATAAGGGCTATATGATGTATGCTGTGAGGTGCTAGAAAATGAAACAAGAGTACAAAGGCTGGAAAGAGACAAACATTCCACAAACCATCACAGTTATTAAAGGTTCAAGAATGTAGGTTACCATGAACAAGAAAGCCATGATGCCAAAAGTAGAAACTGAGCACATGTGAATGTGTGGGCGTATGTACTCAGGAGGAACTGGGCCCAGAATTACCTATCTTTCCACCACCTCAGATGATAACACTGTTGACTTATAGCAGGCAACCTAAAGCTTGGATTTAAAGTTTATACACAAACCTGTCTGTAGTTGTTCCTAATGGGAACAAACAGGATTTCCACTGCTTTTGGCAGAGTTGCTGCTGTAAAATTTATTCAAGATGAATGATTCTGTCCAGTATGATGGAAATAGATGTGTTTATGAATTCAGATGTCTGTTTACACAGCAATCAAGTAAGTGTGTTGCTTAAACACTGTCTTCTGTATAATACTGTGCCCAGTACTTAGCAGGCTGGCTAATGTTGGATATTCACCTGCAAACTGAAGTGGTCATGCTAATAACCTCATAGGTCGAGAGGACTAAATATTAACACTTAAAACATCCAGAAGAGCATTTGGTACAGAGGAAGTGCTCTTACTATTTTAACATTATTTTGGCTTTTAGCCAATTCACTGAGCAAAATAATCTCAAGTCTCATAGATGCTGGAGGCTTTCCTGTAAGCTGTGTATTAAAGTTTACTAAGAAGAATGAAGCTGGGGCTAGAGAGATATTCAGCCATTAAGAGTATGTATTGTTCCTGTCAGAGGATCAGGGTTCAGTTTCTAGCACCCACATGGAGGCTCACAACCATATATAACTGCAGTTCCAGGAGATCTGATGTATTCTTGGACTTCCTGGGCATTAGACACACATGCTTATGTTCACATGGTACACATGCCTATGTTCAGGCAAAACACTCACAATGACTCTGAAAATGAAAAACAGTGTTTTCAAACAGAGAAAATAGGCCATCCATGAATTTAATTTCACATTTAACTGTGTCTAGAGGTGAGTCTCAGTTAGGGTGCTAACTAAGGACAATGTTTTCACATTAAGTGTGACTGACATGGACTCTGGCACTGTTATGGTATAAACTAGCAAAAATTGATCACAATCTTCCTTCCTTCCTTCCTTCCTTCCTTCCTTCCTTCCTTCCTTCCTTCCTTCCTTCCTTCCTTCCTTCCTTCCTTCCTTCCTTCCTTCCTTCCTGAGACAGTTTACTCTGTGTAGCTCTGGCTGTCCTGGAATTCACTCTGTGGATCAAGCTGGCCTTGAACTCAGAAATCTGCCTGCCTTCCTAGTGCGGGGATAAAAGGCGTGGGCCACTTCACCAAGCTCCTTCGGACTCATTTTCAAAGGTGCCATAGTCTTTTTACATAATTGGTTTCTTTTCTTTTTGTTGTTGTTTTTCTTTTCTTTTTCTTTTTGTTGTTTTTGTTTTGTTGTTGTTGTTGTTTGAGACAGGATTTCACTGTGTAGCCCTGGCTGTCCTGGCACTCACTCTGTAGACCAGACTGACCTCGAACTCAGAGATCCACCTGCCTCTGCCGCCCAAACGCTTGGGATTAAAGCATGCACTTTAAAAAAAAAAAAAAAAAAAAAAAAAACCATTATATATTGTATCTTATTTGACCTAATTGTGGCAATTCAAGAGATGGTAGAATGGGAAGAACCGGCAGAACCTTTTAATACAAGAAATTCTCAGAACAATGGGGGCATCATCATGAATAACAAGTTTTCGAACTTGTATCGCTCTGCAGGAAAAGGAGAGTATGACTTCTTGAATTTCTTCATCGGGTAACTTAGACCCGTTATGACAGAACACGGGCTGTGCAGATCGTGTTACTTGGGCTTATGTCAATCAAAATTTTAGATAAAACTTGTCAGATACAATTGCCCTTCGGAGGATGAGCTGACAACCCTAGCTCCACGCCTGGCCTGAGGGCAGAGCTTCAGGGCAACTCCTGGCCTGGAGGGTTAAGTTAGGGTTTGGGTTGTGCGGTACAGTGGGCTTGGGGTGGAAGTTGGGGGTTGAAACGGGAGGAGGGGGGCTGGTTCCGAAGCCGTCGAGCGCCGTGGAGGACAGCTGAGCTTTGCCAAGGGCTGCCGAGGCGCCGAGCGTTGCCGAGGGCCGCCGAGCGTAGCCGAGGGCTGCCGAGCGTTGCCGAGGACTGGCAAGGCCTGCCGAGCGTTGCCGAGGGCCGCCTGGGCTAGAGCGAGGCTCGCCCTCGCCATGGGTCCCGTGGTGGAGCGGCCGGCCGAGCCGGGGACGAGCGGCGTGGCGGAGCTGGAGCTGCTGAAGCGGCGCGCCGCGGAGCGCATCGACGAGGCGGCCGGGCGCCTGGGCGCGCTGAGCCGCGCCATCTGGAGCGCGCCCGAGCTGGCCTACGAGGAGCACGGCGCGCACCGCGAGCTCACGCGCTTCTTCGAGCGCGAGCCGCCGGCCGCCTCGTGGGCGGTGCAGCCGCACCTGGCGCTCCCGACCGCCTTCCGCGCCGAGTGGGCGCCGCCCGGGGCCGCCGCGGCCGGGCCCCGCGCGCTGCGGCTCGCCTTCCTGTGCGAGTACGACGCGCTGCCCGCCCTGGGCCACGCCTGCGGCCACAACCTCATCGCCGAGGCCGGGGCGGCCGCCGCGCTCGGCCTGCGGGCTGCGCTGGAGAGCGCCGCCGCGCCGCCGCCCGTCACGGTGAGCCTCCCGCCGAGCCGCCGCCCGGGAGAAGCCAGCAGACAGTCCCCGCGTGCTTGGGTTCGCCTGGAAGGGCTAACTTGTATTTCACACCGTCAGCGGGCGGGAGAAGGTCGTGCACGTCTGTCTTAGGCGGGCCTGAGCCCGTGCTTACCCGTTCAGATGGTGTACTCAATTCTGTGAGCCAAGAGTCAACCTGTCACTCACCGGTTCACGCCCTTCCCTCCCCACCCCACACTCCCCCAGGGGCAGTGCACTCCACCGCAGTTCGGCTCTTGTGGCCCTTGCCCGTGCTTCCTCTTTTATGCCTCTCGGGGTTTTTTGTTTGTTTTGTTTTGTCTTGTTTGAGGATGAGGATGTGAGAACCAGGGCAGACAAGTTCTCAGCAGTTGGCAAGAGCCCATTAGATTCAGAGGAAGAAGCAGCTCAGTGGCCAGGCGTGGTAATACACGCCAGGTGGATCTCTGTGAGTTCGAGGTCAGCCCGGTCTACATAAGAGCTCCAGAACAGTCATTATTACATAGATCCTGTCTCAAACAGCTCCCTCCCCTAAAAAAAGGCAGCTCAATTTCAGATGCTTTATAAAGTTAAAAGTAAATAAAGCCAGACTTTGAGAACTATATCAACTTCTAATTTCAGGTGGTGGTTCTTACCACAAAATGAAATATAAGTGGATTCCCGTTGCAAGCAAAGCCCTTTCTTTAAACCCCAGTCTGTTTCATTGTATTTTTATACATGACCTTGAGAGTACAGTAATTTTATGCAGATAATTTGTCTTTACTTTTTAAATTTTTCTTGAAGAAGTTAAGCTCAAATATCAAAATAAAATGTTTATTCTGTAAAGTTCTCTTTTGTTTGATTAGGTGTTTGGTGACCATTAAATCTTCCTGGTTGAGCTGGTGGAATCGAATTAGTAAGTAGGTGTAACAGTTGGCGGTTTCTAACCATGGCAGTGAGATTGCATAATGCCCACCAATGAAAAGGAATGAATGAAGACTTTTTAAGTGGTGTCTCAGCCAGGACAGCTAGCTAAGATTCCCCGGGAAGCCTGAAGCCTCGCTGGCATGATCCGGGCCACTCACCCACCTCACAAGGTTGTTGTGAGGGTAGCAGACAGACTTGCAAGGTCCTCACCAGTGAAGCCTACAACTAACTATTATATACATATGCTAACAGGCGTAGCCATGGAGAAACCTTAACAGATAAGTCCTATTTTTATTCACAGTACAAGTCTCGGACTATAACTTCTCTTCAGGGTTTAGGGACTTAAGTATACATTTTGACTGCACATGCGCTAACTCCTGTTAAATGTTTTCCTGATGGGAGTCTCTATGCTAACATGAATCTCCTTGTAGGTAGTTGTCCTGGGAACCCCTGCAGAAGAAGACGGTGGCGGCAAAGTTGATTTAATTGAGGCAGGTGCCTTTAAAAACCTTGATGTTGTTTTTATGGCCCATCCGTCTCAAGAGGATGCTGCCTACCTACCAGACATGGCGGAGCACGAGTAAGTCTCCCAGTGGAAGACAGACTGAGGGCATTCAGCACTAGAGCAGTGAGGTGGCTGAGTGGGTAGGAAGGCCCTGTCACACAAGCCTGGCGACCCAAGTTCTAGCCCCAGAACCCGAACCAAAGTGGAGGGAACAGAGTTGGCCTTTGACCTCCACGGGTGGCCCGTTGCTCTGCACACCCCCTCCTCCATCACTCACAGGCAGAACTTAAAAAGCCAGACGCAAAACCTCTGCATTTCTGCACTTAAGTAAATTGAGCTGCGCATGGTGCCACTGGCTTCCAGTCTCATTACCTGAGGCTCAGGCAGCGGGAGTCTGCGTTTGAGGCCAGGGTGGGCTGGGCAGGAAGACCCCGTGAACTGAATGATGAGCTGCTTGGTTTGAGTAACTTTTGGCAAGCCTCTTCTAATCATGGTCTGTTATTCCAGTCCTACTTGAACTATTAAGGGAGGACCTAAACAGGGATGCTAAAACACCTGTGTTCTCTCTTGCTCTGATTTCTGGGAAAACAGCAGTCCTTTGATAAGGAAGTGTCTTCCAAGGGCAGTTTGATTAGCCTTGGGAAGAAAGCACTTCTTCATGCTGATTTTTTTGGTTTTATGGAACTGGCAGATGCTACTCTTGTATCTAGAAGGATGTGTCGTTGAATTGGCATGAGTTTTTAACCACAAATAACAGTTGTAGTCTGGTTAATGGTCCATTCCCAGGAGCCACTGCTGGGCTGTGTCTGCTCATTTCTGTAGTAGCTGGGATGGTGGATGTGATAATGAACCATCACTGCAGTGTAACTGTGCTCAGGAACTTCACCTCCCTGAGCCCCAGCAGGCCTTGTTTTCAGAAGGTAGACATTCATTCTTACCAACTTGGAACTGGTAGTGTGAGAGCAGGTGACTTACCTTGTGTGGGGGCAGATAGGATTTTATCCCTGTACTTCTAGAAAATACTAGAGACTGCAAATCTTTGCCAGTACTTCCAGCCGGAGGAAGCCCGAAAGCTGTAGGCAGTTTTTCCAGAGTACTAGGATTAGATTTAGGTCTTGAGCTTGGCTCCACATGCCGCACCCCCCACCCCCTTAGCTAAGGTCTGGTATGTAGCCCAGGCTTGCCTGGAACTCACTCTGTAGCTGAGGTTGTCCTTGAACTACTGATCTTCCTGTGTCTACTACCCAGCACTGGGACTTCGTCCATGTCTTGTTTGTGTGAGGCTGGGGAATGAATGAGCCTAAGACTTGATACATACTAAGTAAGCACTCCGCCTCCTGAGGTGTGTGCCAGCCCAGCTTCGCTTTTTTGTCTGTTGATTTAAGTAGTGTCGTAGCCCAGTGCTCTGTAGCTGAGGATGGTCTTGAACTTCTGAACCTCTTTCCTCCCCAGTGCTGAGATTATGTTATATACCATTATGCCTGGTGTATGGGTTGTTAGAGATTGAGCCCAGGGCAGCATACATGCTAGTGAGCACTCTACCGCCGATACCCAACTACCCAACTATACACACACACACACACACACACACATGCATTATGTAGCCATGGCCAGCCTGGAACTCAATATGCAGTCTAGGCTAGCCTTCCTTCTTTCCTCTCTCCCTCCCTTCTTCCTTCCTTCCTTCCTTCCTTCCTTCCTTCCTTCCTTCCTTCCTTCCTTCCTTCTTTCCTTTCTTTCTTTTCCCCCCTCACTCTGGAAATGGAGCTCTGAACCTTCCACACCCTAATCAAGCGACCTCACTGAACTGTATTCTTGTTCTCACATTGGCATGCTTTTACTACAGGCGCTTTTCAAATACAAAGTCCAGTGTGTGTGTGGGGGGGGGGGGGCAAGCTGTGGCTCTGTGGTGAAGAGCTGCTGCTGCTGCTCCAGAGAACTTGTTTTGTTCCCAGCTCCTCTGCCAGGCAGCTCACAACTGCCTGTAACTTCGGGGGTCCTCTCTCTCTCTCTCTCTCTCTCTCACACACACACACACATGTGGTGCACCACCCCACTTCTCAGCTCTGTATTCACGCGTACTTGCTCATACACAAACACACAGGAATACCCACAGCTAATGCATTCTCTTAGTGATCCTGGAGACAGTAACTCGCAGTGGTTCGTTTTGTGTCCTAGTGTGACGGTGAAGTACTATGGAAAGGCGTCTCACGCGGCTGCGCACCCTTGGGAGGGAGTGAATGCCTTGGACGCTGCAGTCCTCGCCTATAACAACCTCTCTGCATTAAGACAGCAGATGAAGCCGTCCTGGAGAGCGCACGGTAGTCTCGCTAAATATTTCTGTACTGAATGGCACTTACTATATTTCAGTGCAGTACAATGATGTAATAGTAGTTTGTTGTGTTATTATTAATTGGGGTTGGAAGCCAGCCAGTGGTTGTACATAACTGTAATCCTAGCACTCGAGAGGCAGAGGCAGGTGGATCTCTGAGTTCAGGGTCAGTTGGTCGACAGAGTTCCAGAACACCCAGGGCTACACAGAGAAACCCTGTCTTGAAAAACCAAAAAAAAAAAAAAAAAGGTGGGGGTGGGTTTCAATTAGTAGAAGGCTCGCCTAAGATGCTGGGTTCTAGCACTGCCTAAAACCTGACATGTGCCATACACTGGAATTCTTGTACTTGGAATCAGAAGTTCAAGATAATCCTCAACAGCACAAGGGCAGTCTGGGGTCAATGACATTCACTAGCACCTCCTTTAAAATCCCGTGTATGTAAGTGGAGTCCACCGTCTTCTCTTAGTGCAGTTCTCCTGCCCCTTCTGGGATAGGCATGAACTCCCACCCCAATTTACAATCCCTCCTCCCCCTTTGCCTCTCCCCCTCTCCCTTCCTTCCTTTCTTCCCTTAGTTTATTTCTTTATGATCTAGGAAATTGTGCTTTAATATATTTAATTCTAAAGAATACTTTACTCAATTTTGCTGTATTCTGAAATCAGTTTGTAATTGTACTTTGCAAGTTTATTGTCATAATTTTCTTTTCTGGTGGAGGTAGCAGATGGTCTGAGATAGCCCTCACTGTGTAGTCCAGGCTGCTCTTAAATTCAAGCAGTTCTTTCGTGCCAGCCTCCCAAGTGCTGGGATTACAGGCCTGATCTAGCTTGCCTTAATTTCCCCAAAAGGGGTAGGAGTGGAAAGTTTTTAACTAGATGGTGGGGAAATCAAATTTATTTTCCTTCTCCTCCTCTTCCTTCTCTTCCTCCTTCTTCCTTCTCTTCTTCTCCTCTTCTTCCTTCTTTTTTTTTTTTTTTATGTTTACAATGAGGTCTCATGTAACCCAGGCTGTGTAGCCAAAGATTGCCTTGAACTCTTAAGCATTTCAAGTACTGAGATTATAGAGTTGCACAACCAGCTGGAGTTAGGTTCTAGGTGTCTCTTTTTGTTGTTAATAGGAACAAATAAGTCTCTGTTTTGTGTCACAAATGTGTGTTTTGATAGTTTCTAGGACTTAGGGGTCTTTGTTCTGCTTTTTTTCTATACAGGATTGTAGCCAAAAGGCTGAGAGGTGATTGTAGTAGTCTCTAATTGGTGTGAAAGTTATTTTTCTACTGCTGTCATTTAAAGTATTCACAGGGGTTTTCAAATATAATGGTAGTTACGGAGCCTCACTCCATTGTTGAAGATTATGTCAAAAGTTTATCAAATTGCACAGCTGGAATAAAGCCTGTGGAGATGAATTTCCTCCAGAAAGTTTAAGATACTGTTTGGTTTTTGTGGTTACATAATTCTGTAGTTCTTTATAATCTAGATGATGATCTCCCTCCTCACCTCCTTTCTTTCTTCTTCCTCCTCCTCTTTCTATCCTCCTCCAGAACCTCACACATGCTAGGAAGGTGCTCTGTTGTTGAACTTTACTCGTAGCCCAAATTTTAATTCCTTAACGTTGACTAGATCCCTTTGAATAAAGTGCATATAGGCAGTTTTCCTTTATTAGCTGGGAAGTAGCAGCTCTCTGTGGAAGAAATCTTTATCATTGAGGCTGATGAGGATAAATTATGTCCCTTTTTATACTGACTGCAAAACTTTCTTTAAACAAATCATCAAATATAACTTGAGTAATTTGATTCTTTTTATAGGTATAATAAAAAATGGTGGTGTAAAACCCAATATCATCCCCTCTTACTCGGAATTAATCTATTATTTCCGTGCACCCTCAATGAAAGAGCTTCAAGTTCTGACGAAAAAGGCGGAAGATTCCTTCAGAGCTGCAGCTTTGGCTACAGGCTGCACAGTAAGAGCTTTTCAGATTAGTTATGGGCTCAGCTGTGTGTGGGCGGCGGTGGTTGTTCAGTTGCTGCATTGAAGCCGACCTTGGCTCTTTTTTCATGTGGTGATTTTGTGTAGGTAGCAGTGCTGGGGATCTGCCTGGGGCCTTGCCCTCACTGGTGATGTCTTGAACCTGCAAAGTGAGTTGGTTACATATTTAATGTGAAATCCTGAAAATGTTTAAAGTGAAAGCATTTAATTCTTAGGTATTTCTTCAATGTCTGCAATAGAGAATACCACAGGTCACCTTACTTAGCAATAGCTAGAGAACTTAGCATAACACTGTGCCAGTATTCCTGCCTTTTTATATCACTTTGGGTAGTTCCCATGGGAGGCATTTTATGATAATACTTATATATCTCTTTGTCAAAGGTGTTGTGTAAATGTGTCTGGCCGGCTGGAGTGGAAGTTAAGATAGACTCAGAACAAAGGAGATTTGGTTGACTAGAACTGTGGTCAGAAACATTTCAGGGTCAGGCATGGGGTGGGGTTTACGGTTACACGCAGTTTCAACACTGCAGAGCCTGTCGGAGAGACAAGAGCTTAGATGTCATTTTTAGGGAGACAAGATCCTTGAGTTTCTTGGCCATTAGAAACACTGCCTCTGGGCTCTCACTGGAAGCAGGGACAGTAATGGGATTTCTCCAGGTTTCTTGTGGAGACAGATGAAGTAACATCTGTGGGAGGGCCCAGCCTAGCCTTCCTTTTGTTCTGCCCGTTGTCTAGCATCATTCACATGGCGGTGGTGTTTCAGCAGTTGTTCTCATAGTGAGCACTTTCTGTCTTAAGAGTAGAATGGACAGTGTTGGGAGGAACAGAGCAGTTAAGAAAGTTTCAGGGTGGGGGCTATAGCTTAGCTTGGCAAACACAAGACCCTGGATTCAGTTCCCAGTTGGTGGGACGGGATGAGAAAGTTTCCTGGAATGCTGTAGACCTGAGCTTTGACGGATGATCCTACGTCCAGATATGTGAGCAATAGAGACCTTGGGCAGGTGTTGGGAAGATAATATATAAGCCTCATCTTGTGTTGTGAGCAGATAGATACATGGACAAGTGTAGGAGTAAGGATGTGTCCTCTTAGGCCATTTGCAAAGAGATTCAGTGGACAGCTGTAAAGACCCCACAATCCAGGGGACTAAACGCTTACCTCCTTATAACTATAAATAATTCAAATATTTGTAAGTTAGATACATGAACTATTATTAGCTAATATTTCAGTGTATTCCCTAAGCTCAGGCTTGGGGGCTGGAGAAATGGCTCCATCAGCAAGACACTCGCTCTGCCGGCTGAGGACCCGAGTTTGAGCTCCAGAACCCACTTTTAAAAGGCAGGTGCAGTGGTGTGCACTTGTAGTCCCAGCTGTGGGGAGGCAGAGGCAGGCAGGTTTCTGCCTCCCTAGCCAGCCAGCCTCGCTCATTTGGTGAGCCCCAGGTGAAAGGAGGGAGAGGCCCTGTCTGAAAACCAAAGAATGTGGGCTCCTGAGGAAGGGCAGTGAGCACATTCTCTTCTTCCACATGCATGTACACACACAATAATAAACATACAGTTTATTGTTGGGTTTAAATCCATATTTAAGTAGCCTTTCACCAGTTTATAATTTGGCTGATTTGTAAGATGGTTGCCATTGTTCCTGCCTTATATGCTGCCAAGAATAGAAGAGATTTAATGTCTGCTGTTTGATGATTAGCTTTTGTGTTTTGAAAACAGAACCTATTAAGGGCACTTCCGTCGTCACATAGAGGCTGCTTCTGTGTTTTCATGTACTTGCGTCAGTAAGCAAGGCCACTGCAAGCCTGCCTCACTGAAGTGTCTGTGTTCTCTGAGAATCCCTTTGAAATGAGGCTGACTATGAGGGACAGTTCTGTGATGGTTCATTTTTTCCTTTTGGAGACTGCAATCTAGAGCAGTGTCCATCAGAGTGGTTTGGGACCACCCGCATAAGAATTACTTGGAGGTTCAGGTTTTAAAAGGAAGTTCCTGGGCACTCCCTATACCCTTTATAGGTGAGTAAAGTCGACACTTGGTCCTCAGAATGGAGTTTGGTGACAATCTATGGTGTGGGGCTAGTGGAACAGAGCAAATGGGGTATGAGGAACCATACCTAACATTATAGTGCATTTTCTTAAGGTAAGAGATTTGTGAGAGTCTATGTGTACAATGGAAAGTGACCATTCTAAAATTTTGTGATGTTAGAAACCATCTTTGTTTTGGAGTCAATAAATTTGAGTTTTTAATCTCAAGCTTTGTTTTGTAATTTTTTTATTAGGTAGAAATTAAAAGTGAAGCACACGATTATTACAATGTTATTCCCAATAAGACGCTGTGCAGTGCATATATGGAAAATGGAAAGAAGCTGGGGATAGAATTCATTTCAGAAGACGCAGTGTTGAACAGCCCTTCAGGTAACTAAGCTGCCATAGGCCGAGCTGTTTGAGCAAAAGGAATGCCAGCTTAGAGTAACAGTCTTAAGAGGTGAGGAGAACTGTGCCTTTCAGGCAGGGTCTTGTGCAGCCCACGCTGGCCTCAAACTCCAGAAGTAGCTGACACTGACCTTGAGCTTGCCCGTCCTGCTTCCCCTCCCCAAATGCAGGGATTATAAATCCATGCCACCACACCTGGGGTTTATGGGGTACTGGAGATTGACCGCAGGCTTCGTGCATATTAAGCGAGCACTCTGCCAACCCTGATGGTTTTTAATGTGTCTGAATGTTCCATATGGATATGATATGTGTATATGCATGCTATTTGCTTGCCTAGTGCCCTTGGAGGCCAGCAGAGGGCGCTGTGTTCTCTGGAACTGGAGTTCCATGTAGGCAGTTGGGTGCTGCCATGTGAGTGCTGAGAAGCAACCTGGGTGCTCTACAGAAGCAGCAGCTCCTAACTGCTGGGCCTTGCATCTCACTGGTGATATTCTTAAAGGCATTCCTTCGCACTTAGGTTACTGGCAAGAAACTGATGCACTCTAAAGGGAGTGGAGACCGTCACAATAGCAGTCGATGCTTTAAAAAATGGTCAGTCTGCTAGGAGTCTTCTAAATATTTCCAGTGTTTAAATTTAATTCTACAGGCTGGAGAGATGGCTCAGAGGTTAAGAACACTGGCTGTTCTTCCAGAGGTCCTGAGTTCAATTCCCAGCAACCACATGGTGGCTCATAACCATCTATAATGAGATTTGGTGTGCAGGCAGAACGCCATATAAATAATAAATAAATCTTTAAAAAAAATTAATTCTACTTTTTTCCTTGTGATGCTGGGGAACAAACCCAAAGCCCAGTGCTAAGCAGCCTTTACTTCTAACCGTTAAATAAGCTACTAAAATGGGAAACAAAATTTTAATTTACTTCAGTTTATCACAGTAAGCAAGTATTTAGTGATCTGGTGTATTTTCAGGTTCTAAGGAGTAAAACCATCATACAGTTTAGTTATATTTGGGATTTATTTATTTGTTGAGACTAGGTCTTACCTTATGTTGTCTAGGCTGGCCTTTGCCTTGTGGTCCTCCTGCTTGAGGCTCTCAGTTTCTGGGATTACAAGTGTGCGCCACCACATCTAGCTGGGACTGTATGTGTGTGTACCATGTGGGTACAGGGACCCTCGGAGGTCAGAGAGGTCATCGGATCCTGGAACTACAGTGCAGGTGACTATGAGCTGCCATGCGGGTGCACTCTTACACACTTAGCCATCTCTCTATCTCTGTCTTTCAGGTTTTTATTTACTCTTATGTGTATGTGAGTGCATGGAGTGTGGGGGGGGGGTTGTACGTGTCACAACATGCCTTTAATTCTAGGACTAGGAAGGCAGAGGCAGGCAGATATCTGTGAGTTCGAAGCCAGCCTGGTCTAATAGTGAGCTCCAGGACAGCCAGGACTACTGCCTAGTGAGATCCCGTCTCAGAAAGAAAGAAAGAAGAAAAGGAGGAGGAAAAAGAGGAGGAAGAGGAAGAGAAAGAAGCTTTAAGTGAAAATAGAATTGATGCAAACAGAGTTTTATGAGAAAACTTGAGTAAATGAAAAGGAAAAAGTAAGAAGCTGCAGCAAGGTTCAGGAAAGAGGGTAAGAATTCAGAGGCCCCTTCCTGGAAAGAGCTGGGTTGCTCATAAGCTGACCGTGCAGATTAGTGCAGCCGCAGATTGGGACACTTCCATGGGCGTGAGTCAAGCTGGGGACTTCTGAGTAACGTCAGCGGGATGTATGTGGGCCTCCACGTCCTTGCTCACACCACTCATGAAAGTACATTCAAGCGCAGGTGTTTTGAGACAGGATCCTATGTAACCCAGGCTGCTTGAGTTTGTCGTGTCACTGAGGGTGAGCCTGATGATTTCCTCATGTGTGCTAGAATCATTAGGGGCGTGGCACCATGTTCGGTTTATGCAGTGCTGGGGATCAGACCCAGGGCTTCACATGTGCTCTCCGCCGGCTTTCCTCCAAGCCTGTGCTGGGAACGACGTTAATGGTAGTTCTGGCTGTAGCACAGGGTTGTAGTAAGATGTCACCATTGGGGGATGTAGGATAGGAGATATATGGATTTCAATCGCGTCCAAATAAAAGAACAAAAGGATGATGTCATCAGATTCGTCCTCACAACCTCCAGCAAAGTCTGACTGCAGAAGCGGAGGTAGTGAGCAGGAGTGCCGGCTGGGGCTTTCTCTCCACAGCCCAGCTGCCTGTGGCTGAACTTCCAGGCTCTCCTTCCTGCTGCCATGTTCAGATCATGGAGGAACAACAGCACCATCTCTTGGAATGACTGACCTTCTAGCTGCCCCCAAGGACACAGTCCCCTTACTTACACGTGGGCTGCTGTACTATCATGTTTCAGGGAGTCAGCACAACCTCAGACAGGGACACACGGGTCTGAAGTGGGGTGGTGGGCAACCATGCCTCCAGAGCCAGCTTCTCAGTGAGCTCAGTTTCCCGCTGCACAAGAGTGCTTCCAGTGTATAATCAGAAACAGTGATGATACTGGTTTTTACAGTGTCTTTTACAGTGTCCCAAATCCTAACCTCCATCCACCTGTGCCATCTAACTATGGGACCTTTACTGTCTGTAAGACTTGGCTTCTTCCTGAGTAAAGCGACAACTGCTCAAATAGGAATGAGAAGCCGGGGTGTAATGTCTACAGCTATGATCCCAGTACTGGAAGCTGAGACAGGATCACAAGGTCAAGGCTCTCCTGTGCTACATATCAAGCCCATGTCTCAACAAACAAAAGGACACACCGTAAAATTTAAAAATGTAAATGAGGATGTATAAGAACTTCTTAGAGTTTGAAACAGGGTAATTCCTGTTGCAGTTGGATGCACGCTTTGATGTCCTTTCCTTGCTTTTACCCTTGTGTAGTTTAACAGCCTGTCTGACCTATCATTAAGCATTTAGTAAATAGCCACTGAATTAGCATAAAGCTTTTGCTTGTATGATTCATTTAACAATGTTAGCATTTGTCTTGTGACAGTCTGGGTGTGTGGCAATTTGAAATACTATTTTTTGACTAATGTATTAGTAAAGGACATTAGCGGAATAACCCAATAAGAAAGAAGCTAGAACTAAAAGGTGATACAGTGCATCCTGTGAGAGCCTCCCCTGGAGAAGTCGACCTTAGCAGGGCACTGAGATAAGGCTTGTTCAGAGAATGGTAGATAATAGGGAAACAGCAGGGCTGGGACTGTGGCTCAGTGCTTGCCCAGCATGCATGAAGCTCTGGGTTCCACCCCAGCATGGCATAAAGTGAGTATAGTGGCACCTGGTATAGTTCCAGTGCTTGGGAGAGAGGGGCAAGAGGATCAGAGAAAGTCTGAGTTTGAAGCCAGCCAGGGCCACATGATACTCAAAAAAAAAAAAAAAAAAAAAAAAAAGAAAAAAAAAAAAAAGAAAGAAAAGAAGGGAGGGAGGGAAGGTGGGAAGGGAGGGAGGGAGGGAGGAAGGAAGGAAGGAAGGAAGGAAGGAAGGAAGGAAGGAAGGAAGGAAGGAAGGAAGGAAAATAGGAACATAAAAACAAAAGAACAGTACCTGCAGAAGTCCTGTGGGGCTGAGGAGCTTGGTGGATGTCCAGAGCAGATGCTGTGGAGGACTTTAGGTCAGACAGCTGAGTGGTATTGGACTCTGTAGACATTGCAAAATAATTGACAAATACCGTAGGTTCTGCTGGACAGATTGGGAGAATGTTCCTTATTGGCCCAAGCAGGGCAGCTGTTGGTGAAGAAAGCATGGTTCTGAGCTGTTTGAGAGGAAGCAGAACAGGATGATACTGAGTTTGATTCTAGCTGTGTTGAGTATGTCTGCCTAAGGCATGTATGGAGGAGCAGTCAGGTGGGCAGTAAGATGTATAAGCAAGAGGGTTAGAGGAGAGCCAACATACATTTCAGTTGCTAATCTGAAGCAGTTAATAGAGAAAAGCCTGATGATGTATTGTAATATGTGGAAGGAGGAAAGGACTGGCACCAAGTCTCAAGGAGCCATTTTCTCACAGCCTGTAGCCCTGAGACAGAGGAGGAGTCTTCAGGCCACAGGGGGATACTAGTGGGGCTAGCTTTGTGGCTGGGCAAGGACAGCTCTGCAGGTCCCACAGCTTGGCCATGGGAGAGATGGGAGTGAGCATGAGCACCAGCAGACAGCACTCCCCGAAGTTTGCCCTGAGAGCCAAGACCAAGCACAGAATTCTAATTACACCTTCATCATTCAGAATACTTAACCAAACACCCCTTTCTTCCTTTTTATTTTCCAAGGCTCTACTGATTTTGGAAATGTCAGTTTTGTAGTTCCTGGGATTCATCCGTATTTTTACATTGGGACGGATGCCCTGAATCACACGGAACAATACACAGAAGCTGCAGGTGAGCGTGAGCTGTAGGTCTTCACGGGTCTCTTCTGCTTTCCCCTGGGTGCTGCTCTTCAGCCTGCTGTTCTAACACTTCTTCAGAAACTACTGTATTGTGCTCAGAAGTTGGAAGGGCAGTTTCAGTGCTGAGAGGCAACCTGAGAATCAGTTGGTGCATTTTAATATATGTGGAGGTATTTTATTTTAGTTTATTCACTTTTCAGGATCACAAGAAGCTCAGCTGTACACTTTGCGGACTGCCAAGGCTCTGGCAATGACTGCCCTGGACGTCATCTTTAAGCCCGACTTGCTGGAAGCAGTCAGAGAGGAGTTTAAGTTGAAACTTGGAGAAGAACAGCTTTTAAATACAAAAACATAGAGGAATGACTTAGGGACTTCTCAGGAAACATTGTTTTGTTTGCTTTTTTTTTTTTTTTTTTTCAGTGAAAGAGAGCATGGGTATTTTTCAGTGTTGGTAAGTGAGGACAGGATCTGGCAAAAACACTAATTCATGTTTAGACTTAATGGAGTTTGTGATAGTTGAGGCATTCTTATGCAATGCCATCTTTTAAGTTGGATGACTCATGATACTGTAGCATGGTAATGGTTTGTAAATGTATCTGTTGTATACTGTTACAAGTCCCACAGGTTTCAGAACTTAGCACTCAGGCACTCTGTGGCTCAGTAGTGAATGTCTTCTTAGCAGTTTACTGTAGGGGAGTTTAAGTCCGGCTGTATCTCTTTTAGTCTAGAGAAAAACTTAAGATAAACATGTACTTGTGGGGTGGATCTAGACTCTCCAGTTCAACAAACTAGCTTTACTTTTAACATTTTAAAACCAGAGAATGATCCTTATTTGTAATTACTCCAAGAATTTGACATAGGAGCAGTGGACATAACAGTAGGATAGGGTGTTGTGAGGTAGCCCAGGGTTTTGCTGGAGAGGCAGAGGAGTGCTGCTGGCTGGGTGCGTTCTGTTCTGCCCTGGCTCACTACCCAGCAGCAGCAACCCCTCAGAAGCCTCCCTGAGCCCCAGGCCGGCCCAGTAGTAATGGGAGCCTGTGGCCCTGGAAAGGAAGCTCTGCAGCCCCATGCTGGGACTTGGTTAGGCTCCCTGCCGCCAGTTCTCTGGACATCAGCTCACCCTCTGCCTTTCTGTCATCAGAGCATTTGTGGAACTACAAAAAAGAGTTCTTGTTATGAGAAAGCCAGGATTGCAGCCGGAAATCTGAAACATGTCAGTGGTTGTCAGTAAAAATCACTGACACAGTAACTCTAGAAACAAGAGGCGGAGAGAGGAAAATCAACAATCTTTCATGATTCCTACTTTAGCGTGGATTTCCTTTTTTGGGCGGGGCGAGTTTAAGACAAGTTTTCCCTTGTGCTCCTGACCTCTCCCCCCTCCTCTAGTGTAGTCCTGCTGCTGCCTCTCCAATGCCACCGCACACCTGCCATTTAGTGTGAACTTGTTGCAGTGATTGAAGAGTGAAAAGCTGGTAAAAACAAACCCCTAGGCATTTGAGGAGGGGTTCCAGAAACGGAAGTGGAAGCAGACAGTGAAGTGCTCTCTGTGGTGGGAGCCAGTCACCCCGAGTGACAGCCAACTACCTGCGACCCTTCCAGCACCTCATTCCTGTTTGGTGTGTAGTTTGGAACTCTGAGGGGCCGCGTTGGAGGGTCATTACCTGAGGCCTGCTCTCTGTTGTACCCTGACTCCATACAGCTGGTGTTTGCTGGCTTTCTTGCATTTGTGCAGCCAGTACACTAAGAACAGTTCTCACATTTTTAGAGGTTAAAACAACAGCAACAAAACCAAACAAACAACCAAAAACACCACCACCACAAAAGCATAAGTATTTACTGTCTGACCCTTCACAAGAAATGCTTCCAGGCCCAGTCTGTCGGGTGGTTTCCATTCTCTCTGCTTTTCTGGAGAAAGCTTCAGGTGGGGACTCCCGGACAGTGATCTGGACTGTTCCCGACAGGGTGTCCTTCGAAACAAGCCTGGTTGTGCTCCCTCACCGTGCCCCACACGTCCTCAGCCTTTCCGCTGTGCACCCACCCTTTCTGTCTTCATGGCACCCTGTGACTGGATGTTCACAACCGACTTCATCTTCCTTAGTATGCATTTTCCATAAAGAGGTAGTCTCAATGAAAGCTTCAGTCAAAAATGAGACATGTCAGAGATGTGCTGTATATTAATGGAATTAGTCTCCTAAACAAGTTCTGAGTGTTTCTCACATCCTCAAGAACAGGTTGTTGGCTGGTTTGTTTGGTTTTGGTTCTTGCAGGGCTGGATATTAAAACCAGGGCTCTCGCACTGAGCTGCATCCCCAGCCGGGGACAGGGCACTGTTTTCATTTGCTAAACGCTTGGCAACATTCTAGAACAGCTGTCGTTACTGATATAGCCCATGCTCTGCAGGTCGTCACAGCTGTGTCCTGTGTTTGGTTTACTTTTTCTAAAGTAAAATTCAATATTACTCATGTATAAACAATGTGTAAACATGTTTAACATGTAAAAGCAATGTCACCTCTACGTAAGAAAGGGAAGGCTCTGTTTTTCCTTTCTGTTGTTTCTTGGTGGAGGTTGCTGTTGTTTTACATGGGGCCTTGCTTGCTGTTCTGCGCAGACTGGCCTCAGACTGTCCAGCTTATCTGAGTGCTGGATGGCGGGGATGTGTCACCGTGCCCAGCTTTATCTCTTTGTTCTCAAGAGATGAATGCCTGTTTTTACAAAGTTGATGTGACTTAAATGTGGAGTGCTGTATGTTGATTTTGAAGGATGCAACCATATTTTCTCCCAGTGTCAATTTGATGAGACTTTTATCGTTTACCAATTCTGTAATTAAATGTGTTTTTGCACTAGATTCTGTATTTGAAGTTAGTGTCTGTGTGGAGTGTTTCAAACTTTTCCCCTCCAGCATAGTTGCCAGCTTTTGAATACTTCCTGCCTGCTTGGAATCACGAAAGATCAGACAGCTTTCTCGTGGCTCACGATCACAAGGTAAGTTTTCATCTTGTGGCGTGAGCTTCCTTGTGACGCCTAGAGTAGAAAAGGGAAGTTAGTGTCACTTTTCTCCAACACACAAAACTGGACCCATTTCCTCAAAAGCTTAGGCTGCTTCATATAGAGGTGAAATTATAAGACTTTAAAATCTTGGCTTAGTTTCTGACAGTTGTCTGTTAGTGGACCTGATGAGTTTTTGTTGTGTTTTTATCTTCCAGTGATTTACAGCCTTGCATCGCTTACAGCGTGTACTGAAAGCCTTGGCCTCAGCTACCAGCTAGGGACTGTATTAAATCAATAGACTGTCAAGGAGGAGGCTGCACTGATGCGTTAAATGTACTTACAATCTGAAAGTGTATTCTCTCTGCCAGCCTAACCTTAAGGAAGCTTGAATATAGGACCTGTATGTGTGTGTTGTATGGAGAGAAAGAGAGAATGTGCTTGGGGATGGAACCCAAATAGAACTATGAAATTCCTTTGTTACACATGTGCCTGCCGTATGCACAGGGCTGGAAGGAAATTCTGCTCAGTGTTTTAGTGAGTCTGAGATTTGACTGACCTGCCCAGAGGAGGCCAGTTGTGCAGTTTTCTGCTTAGGTCATGCCACTCAAAAAGGTTTGGAGCATTTTGGGTTTGAGGTTACGTATGTTCAACCTGTACTGTTTACTAGTAAGTTGCTGTGTATTTTATGAGGATAGCTAATGTTTAGTTTGCCTTAAAATATTTGAGCTGATTTTTAGTCTTAACAAATTTTCCAATCTGGGGTAAAGTAGACGTTGCACGTTGTTATGAGGATGTGTACACATAAAGAAAGGTGTCCCACACTTTCCCAAGGTGTTGAGTGGTACAGTTTCGTTGTTTTTGCTGTGGTTGTTGTTTTTAAACTATTGTAGTCTCAGCATTTGAGTGGGTAAGTTTTGTACTGGGGAAAAGTAAAGACCAAGTCATACACAGAAATCCCTTCTGGTTGGTGGTACCTTCTCCCAAGGATAGTTCATATGAACCACACTGTGTGTGTGTGTGGGGGGGGGGATGTCCAAAAACCGTCTTGGCAATTTAAAATATTTTAAAATAATGTGAGTCACTTCGATCTGTTTAAACAGAAGAAATTTGATATGAGGTCCTTTTTTAAAGAATGTTTGTCTCAGTTTATAACATTTTTTTAAAGAAATAAACCCTTTGTGATGGTTTTGTACTTTGTGATATGTAACTTTTTGCCTGAAGCAATCTTCTGGAATGCGCCCCACACCATCAGGGTGGATTCTGCCGATGACTGTAATCTCTGTAGCAGTCAGCACTCTCTGGTCATCTATAAGGCAGGGTGAGCTACTGTGCTTACTTATTCAGGCCTTTTGTGCTCTATGGCATAGCTTAGAATGGTGTGTTTGGGTATGTAAGAGGTTAGTATTTTCAAATAAGCAATCTCTGCTTATCATGATTATAATAATTTTGTAGCATTTTTAAAGATGCATATTGAAGTTTATAGAAAAATTTAAATGTGTATTTATGTAATAGCAGTTATTTTAATGACATATATCAAAATAAAGATTTCGTAAAGGCAAAGTTGAAATGAGTGTCTTCTCTCAGAAACTGAAAACTGGACACCTCTGTAATAGCCGAGTCCATAGTTACAGCGTCACACTTGGCTTTCAATGTATAGAAAACTCCATCTTCACTAGACAATAATTCAAAACACATTTCAGGTCTTCCCAAAGCGTAAAGATCTCATATGAGAAAAACAAGTCTTCACAGGCCTTTCTGAGAATCTCTGGCTTATAAAATAGAACTCGTAGGGTTTCTGTTATAGACACCATGACCAGAAGCAGCCAGAGGAGGAAAGGGTTACAGCTTACAGCCCACTGTCCAGGGAAGTCAGGGCAGGACCCAGGGCAGGACTAGGAAGCAGGAGCTGATGCAGAGGCCATGGAGGAGTGCTGCTTTCTGACTCGCTCAGCTGCTTTCCTAACCATCTGGGACCAGCAGCACAGGGTGGCGCCGCCCACATCAATAAAAAGCATGCAGCAGGCCAGTCTGGTGGGGGCACTGTCACAAAGATCCCCTCTGCCCAGATAACTCTGATGTGTCAAGTTGACATAAAACTGGCCAGCTTAAGAGTTCCAGATGTTTTAAATTAACGTTTGTCTTTTTAAGACTGAGCCTACTGTGTAGCCCAGGCTGGTCTTCAACTCACTATACTTCCTCCGCCGCCCAGTGTCTAAGGTTATAGGCCTGTGTCACCAAGCCCACCCTGTCCTGTTACTTCTTATGTTTGGCTCAAGCATGATTTCTTCCAGTTCATTATTCAGGATTGGACAAAAAATATAGGATGTGTCATATTTTCTTAAGTGACATAAACTTAGAAGGATATATATATTCACAGAGTTACCAAGATGGCCGAGTGGGCAAAACACGTGCCGTTCAAGCCTCTCCCCAGAACTGACTCTACAGAGTTGTTCTCTGATCTCCACGCAAATGCCCACAACTTATGTATCACACACAACAGTAATGAAACTTTAAACAAGAAAGGGAATTCCCAAAGCTGGCCTTCAGTTGACTATGCAGCTGAGCCAGGCCTTGAACTGCCTTCACTTGGGGTTACAGATGTACACCACCATAGCTAGAATACAAAGCAAACATGCCCTTATTTTTCCTTTTAATTCATACCATGTGTTTTGATCATGTTTCACCTCCCTTAGGTCCTTCCCACGTGCCCGCCCATCCAACTCCATGCCTTCTTTTCTTTCTTTAGAAAACAAACAGGCAAATTTGAAAAAATAATAAAATGAAAACACAAGAAACCCATACACAGAAAAACAAAACCCTTAAAACCACAAAATCAGAAATTTAAACAAATTATATTTAAACAAATATAATATTTAAACAGAAGAATGGTAAGATTTTTTTTTTTTAATGCCCAAACAAAAACAATATGAGACAAAAAAGTTAGAAACCACCATTGGGTTCACTTTGTGCTGGTCACCCACCGTGGGGTGAGGGCCTGCCCTAGAGTATGGCCAGTATGCCGAGGGAGATTCCACTGATGAAAACCAATTTCTCCTTTGCAGCTGGCTGTCATCTGGGAACTCTGTTAGGGAGCATATGTCCTCTCCCCCTCTTGGCACTGGGATCCCAGCTGGCACGAACTTGTGCAAGCCTTGTGTGTGAGTCTCTGTGAGGCCATGCATATCAGTCCTTTCCTGTCTAGAACTCACGGTTTCCTTAGCATCATCCATCACCTCTGATTACAGTCTTTCTTCCTTCTCTCTTCTATATAATCCCTGAGCCCTAGGGGAGAAGTTTGATAAGGACATCCTGTTGGGTCTGACCTCGCTCTGCACATTGTCCAATTATGGATCATTGTGTAAGTTCCTGTCTTCTGTAAGATAAAGCCTGTCTGAGAGTGCTGATGGAGACACTGACCTATGGGCATAGCCGATTGTCGTTCTCAGTTATCCCGTTACTGTGCTCCTTTAACAGACGACAGATTTGGTTTTCCCCTACTCCTGTGGCGTATCTGGTCTCAGGTTCTTGGCCACGGAGCAATAGAAGGTATTGGTTCCATCTCTTGGAGTGGGCCTTAGAGCCAATAAGAAACTGGTTAGTTATGCCCACAACATTTGTGCCGCTAGCCCCCCAACATGTCATGCCCACAGGCCACCACTGTAAGCCGCAGGTTGTGCAGCTGGGTTGTCGATTACTTTTCTGATAGCATGCAGAGTACCAGGAATACTACTCAGTGGGGGTGAAGTCTCTAGTTAGGCACCAGCTTGACCTTCTGTGTTCAATGAGATATGTAAGCCAAGCGTATGTAATCCTGAGGTTACAATACGATAGTAATCCCGAGATTACGATGAAGGCACTGTAACTTAAAAGGCTCGTTGCAGTTTGTATCTGCAGTCTCCCCCAAAAGCCACATCTTAAGGGGTAAGATGGCAATATTACCACTTTCCACCCATGACTGTTGCCAAAGAATTGAAGTCAAATTCAAGATTCGGCAGAATTAGGGGGCTTAAGGCTCTGCTGCTCCAGGGTGCCCATACTGGCATTCTGTGAAGGTTTGTTTGGGGTAGTTCAGGGCTCAGAGCAGGAACAGAGAAACTGAAAAGCAGGCAGACTATTTCTGAATACCATCCCCTGATGCTCAGGAGCGTGATCTCATGGCTTCTCGCATACTGCATACAGTTGAGCATGTATGAAGCAGGTAGCTGGCCGAGGACCAGGAGGAAGCATCTTGCCTACAGCATCCCTTGGGCAGATGGCAGCAGTCCTCCCAGGGGAGTAGAGAGAATTCTGAGGGAACAGTTCACGCAGCAGGATATGTAGGAGAGTCTATAGTTTGCAGAGTGCAGTGGACTCTTTATGATGTAGGCCCAAGCAGAATACCCATGTTACTGTGGTCATGTCCATGAAGGCACCTTGGAACCCGAGCCCTTCTTCATGTCTCTGCTTCCCAGCTGCCACAAGCACACAGAGCCATGTGCTTGCCATGATAGACCAGGCTGCACAGTCACAAAGAGAAAAGGCCAAGCCGCCATGGTGGAAACTACGAGCCAAAATAAACCCTTCCCTACTGACTACCCTCGGATATTTTACCAAGGTGACAGCAAGGTGACAGCTTGTTTTCAGTGTGGTGAATATTTAAAAAATGGAGTGATTCTTAGACAGAAAGAATGAAGTGTATGTATGCATGTGCGTGTACTCTGTGCTCCCACATATCTGTGGAGGCCAGAGAGGGTGTCAGGCAACCTGTTTTAACAAGCACACCAGTGACTCCTGTTGCTGACCCCACAGTGATGGAGTTACAGATGCAGGCATGTGACCATACCTGGCCTTTTACGTGAGTGCTGGGGGTTTGAACTCAGGTCCATACACTTGCATAGCGAGTACTCTTATCTGCTGGGTCATCTCTCCAGTCCCCTGATTTTTTTAGGTCTAAAGTATACTTTTGGGTCGTGATCATTTGAAAGAGACAGAGACAGGGAGACACAGAGAGATACAGAGAAAGAGAGAAAGAAAAGAAAAGAGAAAAAGGAAGGAAGGAAGGAAGGGAGGGAGGGAAGGAAGGAAGGAAGGAAGGAAGGAAGGAAGGAAGGAAGGAAGGAAGGAAGGGAAGAAAAAAAGAAAGAAAGAAAAAGAAAGAAAGAAAGAAAGAAAAAGAAAGAAAGAAAGAAAGAAAGAAAGAAAGAAAGAAAGAGAAAGAAAGAGAAAGAAGGAAAGGAAGGAAGGAAGGAAGGAAGGAAGGAAGGAAGGAAGGAAGGAAGGAAGGAAAGGAAGGAGAAATGAAGAAAAGAAAAGAAATACACATTTGTGAGTGTGTGTGGACCACAGTACATATTGTACAACAGACTTTTCCTGGGAAGATGCAAACAGACATCTGCATACCCCAGATGGGGGACCAATGACATACCAAAGAGAGGACACCATCAAAGTCCAATGGGCCAACTGATGGATTTTATTGTGGTCATATATAGGAGCAGAAATGACTCAAAGACAGCTGCATCACTGAAAGCCCACACCAGCACGGCGACAGCTCACAAAAGCTGGGAACCTGGAGCACACTGCACAGCCGGCAGGCAGCTCAACAGGTTGGAGAGTGCTTCCCAGGGAGCCGATCTGGTGTCTACTTCTTTGAGACAGCTTGGCTGGTCTGAGCCTCTTCTAGACTGCTTGTCTGAGAATCTAGGTACCTCAGCTTATCTTAAAGGGTCTTTTAAGCAACTGGTCTGGTCTGTGTCTCTTTCAGTGGCACTTCTTACAGTTTATATATGCTTGGGGCAGAAAGGGCCTTGTGTATCCTTTCAGCTTCAGTGATTTCCTGTGGCTATTGAATTGCTTACTTTGTGACCTTCACCAGCATTCTCTCTTCAGGTTGGAATGGTTTACCTCTCTTTAGAACATCGTATGTCTTAATAATGGGTTTCCGTCTAAGATAGACAGGAAACTGCTACGCAGCACATATGGAGGCCAGAAGCAACTCCTCTCCTACTTTGTTGAGGCAGGGTCTTTCATTGTTTCTCCACTTGTGTCCTCCAGGCTAGCTGGCCCCCAAACTTCCAGGTCCCTTTCATGTGTACCTCTTAGTGCAGCCCCAGCATCAGCCCAGCCTTGGGAATCTGAGATGTGTTACGTGAGTAGAGAAGGACTGCCTTGAGAGTCACCTGCCAAGAAGTAAGGGAAGGTGCTGTGGTGGCTAACCGTCGTGTTGGCAGGATCTAGAATCCACTAAGACATGCCTTTGCTTGGTCTACGAGAGCATTTCACAGAGTAGATTAACTAAGGAAGAAGTCCCTTCCCCAGACTGGGAGCTACAGCCTACATATAAAGAGATCCAAGTGAAAGGCCATCTTGCCTGCCTGCCTCTGTTCTTGCTGGTAAGGACATTGCGTCCATCACTGCTGCTGCCGCTGCTACCCTGCCCCTGTAGCAGAGGCCACCATAACTCGCCAGGAGTCTCCCTGGCCTCCAGTGCCCAGTTGGGACTGCAGTGGCATGTAGTTTATGGACAGAGCAGCTAGCAGGTTCCTACCCTCTCCAGCTTACAGGTGACAATTGACGCGATTGCTTTGCCCCTGTTGTATAAGCCATCCCGGTGCTCTCGTTTTATTATACACATTCTGTCCCTTCCCTCTCGAGGACCCTGCCTAATGCAGGCATGATGATGCCTAGAGAGCAAAAAGGGCAGCTTTTGTTCCCTTTATTTAACAGCTGAGATCCCTCTGCTTTCTCCTCATTTCTTAAGAGTTTGGAGGGACTTCTGCCAGGGACTCAGATCTTCACCATCTCTTCCTCCAGACCCGTCCCGCAGTCTCAACCTTAGCTCTGCAAGAGAACTCTTGCTACAGACTTCCCTGGCCCTGCCCTCCTCTACTGTGCAGATCTGTCCCTCCTAGCCTCCTTCCCCCACTTCCATCCCCCAAGTCCAGCCGGCACACCCTGCTAACCCAAAGGCCACTCCTTCCAGGGAAACAGGTGACTGCAGTTCACCTCCTCTCCTGCTGCCCTCCAGGCCCAGTCCTCTCAGCGCCATCCCCAGCTCTGCCGCAGACCTACTGTGGCCTCCCTTTCCTCTCTGACTTTATCCCAATGGATTGCAAAGATCGTCTCCAACCTTCCACCTCCCGACTCATCCCAGTATTCCAGCCTCCAACACCAGCAGATACTCCCTGACCTTCAGAGCCTCAGGACACACCAGCAGAGCAGGCCAGGGAAACATAAACTAACTGAAGACCTTCGCTCCTCCCTCTTCTCCTCCAAACCCGATCCCTGAGTCTCATCCCTGTCTCTGCGACTGCAGCCCTCCTCCCTCTGCTCACATCTCCTATGGATCCCACAGACCTTCCCTTCCCAACCTCCCTCTCCCCATTTGTCGCCTTATCCCAGCCACCAACCCTAGCACATACTCCCTGCTAACCCACAGCCTACTCCTACCAGAGAAGTAGGCGGGCTGTCTGTACTCTTCCCCTCTTCTTCTGTTCCTCTAGATCCGGCTCCCCAGAGCTGTAGCAGACCTTCTAGGGTGACCTCTCTTCATTGTCTCGCCAAATTCCAAGGAAACTAAGCAGATCTCAGTGGAACCCTCTGCTCTCCTCCCTCCTGTGAACCCCTTCAGAACCTCTAGTCTACCCCCATTTCTAAATGTCAGTTCCCGATGCCCAGAAACACATTTTACCTGGAACTGCCAGTAGCCACAGCTATGAAGTCCAAGGAAAATTTTCTACCAGGTGCCACACAGCCATCATACTCTCTGAATATCTAGGGAGGAAACCAAAACAAAGGAACAAACACCCACCCAACAAAGACAAATCCAGCAACCAGTACCTAGATCTATGGACATGAAAATCCCAGATTCCTAGATACCAGTGTAAAAGTACAAACAGTAATAGCCAAGAAAATATGTCTCCACCGAAGCCCAGGTATCCTGCCATGGTAGGCCCTGAACACTCCAACAAAGCTGAAGCACAAGAAAACCAAAACCTTAAAACTGCCTGTATCTCACGGAACTTTCTCCAGAACTGACCACATACTTGGATACAGAGCAAGTCTCGAAAGATACAAGAACATTGAAATAACTCACTGATTCCTGTCAGACCACCATGGGTTAAAGCTGGATATCCACAACAGAAACAAACTCATGGAAACTGAAAAACTCTGCTGAATGAAAAATGGGTCAAAACAGAAATAAAGAAATTGAAGACTTTCTAGAATTCAATGAAAATCAACATACAGCACATTCAAACTTACGGGACATAATGGAAGCAGTAATAAGAGGCAAGTTTACAGCACTAAGTGTCTACATTAAAAAAAAAAAAAAAGCAACTGAAGAGATCTTGTAGTAGCAACTTAACAGCACACCTGAAAGCTCTAGAACAAAAAGAAGTGATCACCCCCAAGAGGAATCAAACATCTGAAATAAATTGAGTAGAAACAAAAAGAAAAATACAGAGAATCAATAAAACAAAGACTTGGTTCTTTGAGAAAATGAGCAAGATTTCAAACCTTTATCCAAACTAACTTAAAAAGCAGAGAAAGAATATCCACATTAACAAAATCAGAAACGAAAAAGGGGACATAACAACAGACACCAAGGAAATCTAGAGAATCATAAGGACATACTTTAAAAACTAGTACTCCACCAAATTGTAAAATCTAAAAGAAATGAATAATTTTCTCAATAGGTACCACTTACCAAAGGTAAGTCAAGCATGGGTAAGCAGCCTAAAGAGACCTATAAATCCCAAGAAAATCAAAGTAGTTATTAAAAGTCTCCCAACTGAAAAAAGCCTGGGACTAGACGATTTTACTGCAGAATTCTACCAGACTTTCAAAAAAGAGTTAATACCAATACTTTTTAATTACCTCACAAAATGGAAACAGAAGGAACATTGCCAGTTTATTTTATGAGACCACAGTTACCCTCCTACCCAAACCACATAAAGATCTAACAAAGAAAAAGAATTACAGACCAATTTCCCTTAAGAATATTGATGCAAAAATACCCAACAAAAATGCTTGCAAACCAATTCCAAGAGCACATCAAAAAGATTGTCTGCCATGATCAGTCAGGCTTCATCCTAGAGGTGCAGGCATGGGTCAATATAACAAAATCAATAAATATGATCACCATGGAAACCAATTATACCAAAATCAATAAATATGATCACCATATAAACCAA